TCCTGCTCTGGCAGGGGGGCTGGACTACATCTCTAGAGGTCCATTCCAAACTCAAACATCCTGTGATTCCATGGCCAACATTTGAGGACTCCAACCACTCCCCTGCCCTTGATCTTGACGTGTGAGCTCCTGGACGCAGCTCCTGGAACCAGTTCCTGTCTGCCACAGAGATCACTCTGGGACTTCCCTGGCCCCTGCCTGCTCTGCAGCAGCAGTTGGGATTCCCATAGTGCGGGTGGGTTCAATATTGGCTTGGTATATATAATTCTCCTTATTTTTCTTATTAACGCTATTACTGTTTCATTAAAGCTAGATTAGTTTCTTTTTCCAATGTGTAAGTCTCTCTGACTTCTCCCCTTTTCCCTTCCCCTTTGGGAGGAGAGCAGGATTAATAGAGAGCATCTGTCATCCATTTAGTGGCCACCCTGGCCGTAATCCTTGACAAGCACGTACATTTTAGTTGACTTTTGCACAGGTGTGAACACCCCCACTAGGAAAAATTTGTCCAAGAGACCTAGTCTTCTGTTGAAGATTCCTCTTGAGATGTCTTAAAGCTGCCAGAAGGCACCACTTGCATCACATGAGCTTTCTACTCTGATTTTGTTAAACGAATGGGTCTGAGTGAGGGTTTGCTGGGATGTGGACCCAGCACAGGTGAAACATTGTGTTTCCTGATGAAGATGGAGAACTTTGGCACAGGACATGCCCTAAGGGACAGTAAGATAATTTTAAAATATGGGACTAATCCTGTTGTGTTACTCTGAAAGACTCCACACATTTTATTAAAATTGTTTTAAGGTTTACAGCTGTAAAACTGTAAGAAACATCTGGTTTTATGATTTTAAATCTGGGCTTTTCATACAGTTCAGAGGCAACACCACCACGATAAGAACAATAACATGCTTATCTGATGCAATTTGGATTACACAAAGATGCTTTAGCTGGAAGACAAGTTTGGGGGGGGGAAAAAAAGAAAAAGAAAAGAATATAAACATCTCTAAAACCTTACAGTTTAATCACTCATCCAGGATTTTTGTTTGTTTTTTTTTTTTAAAAAAAAAAATATCTATTTTTTCAGGCAGTTACCTTACTTGATGATGACAAATACATATATCAAGTTTTTCCACAAATTCAAGAGCTTCCAGTGGCATCAGGAGGATCCTTTAGATTTGGAACTGGAATATGTTTTAATCCCTTAAATCTTAAACCATCAAAAGAGCGAGTTGTGTACTGCATGGTTTGATGGATATTGTCTATTAAATTTCTAGAGGTTTACGTACCCTAAAACCTGCCATGTTCCTTTTTTTTTGGAAGGGGACTATGAAACCATTCTCCACTATCTTCAGTATTTCCCAAGCAACCTGCTGGTTTATGTCCTCTTCAGAGGGACAGAAAAGTTTTTTTAAACCACAGTGACAACAGCTCTCTATTCTAGCAGTCAGAGGTCAGACTAAAACCACTTTTGCCAACTGGCAATACTGCTACAGAAACAAATTCAGGGAGTGTGAGTCTCAAGTCTGGAGTAGCAGAGGGAACTAGACACGGTTTGCAAACACTGATAAATACAACAGGATTCACAAGCCTGCACGCTACCCGACTGCCTGCCTCATCTGCCTGAAACACAAGTATCTACGTGTGATGCTAAGAACTATTTATAAGGGCAAAGGATGAAGTATCGGACACCTGTCTGCAGTCTTGAGTGAAGATTCTTCTTAAAAGAGTAGAATGGTCCCTGGAATGGAGGAAGAAGGAAGTCCATTCTCAAACCAGCCACTTTCCAGATGCTGTTCTCAAAAAAGGCATCTCTAAAGTACTATAACAGAGGCCAGTGCCAGTCCCACTACCAGTGGCTTGATACTTGGCATGAAACCTATTTTCAATTGCTTGTAACTTCTATGTTAAGCCATTTAAACTGAGAAGTCTTATCTGGATACAGATTTTACAGGCACATATCCTAGGGATAATTCAGACAACATGGATTGAGTATTTTCAAGAACAAACCCAAAGAGAAGGGGAAACAGGAAAAAGAGGAAGATGGTTTTCGCATCTAACTGCAGAACTTTGTTTTAAAATAGGCAGTGACAGAGTGAGAAAAAGCTATTTTCTGAAGCAGAAATCTGAAGTTCAGCTGAGTTCATACACAGTTTTGCCTTTCTCAGCCATCTTCTAACCCCCTATGTCACAGCACCCAGCTTGGAGTCCATTTGTACTTCTGGCTTTTCCCTCTTTGTTTTCTCTCCCCTGTAACTTGGAAGAGAGATGAGATCAGGAGCTGCAGATAGACACTGTGCACAGAGAGAGGAAGACACTCTTAAATCAGGCAACATCGTCCCAAAACCAGACTAGAATTGACTAGTTAAGGAGACCGAGCAGAAAAGCAAGAAGCAGAGCACGGACTGCATGTGAGCGATAACGAGAACAGAGAGCGGTAACAACAGGCACGGGTCAGAGGGCTTTTAGGCTAAAAACAGAATAAGCAGTTGGAGAGGTAGGCCAGCAGCAATCTGTCTTGAACAGAGGAACCCAGAGCACACTCCTTTATACAGCCTGGACACAAGCTCGAGATTGCTGAGCATGACCATTCCTCTGCTCTTAACAACCCATAAACCCCATGTATGTGACTGACCTTTAGCTGATGTTGTTCCACACAAGAAAATTACAGTCTATATTGCCCCACAGTAATCGAGTGCCCAAGAGAGAGAGGTCCAAGTAGAGGATCCAGCAGCCAATCCTGCTGGATCATCACTGCAGAATGGCTTGCGACGGAGTTCCTAGTTAGCTTTTCAGAAGAAATACACATCTGCAAACAGTTCAGTAAGTGGCCGACCACCATATTAATGTTGACAAGAATGAAAAGTGAAGGACTTGAGAGTTTGAAAACACCAAAGTTACAGCTGCTGGTGCATGTGGATCACACTATAGACTGTAACTATGAAGCAGCCACTCAAGTTGGACTAAGGCCAGATTTACATTCCACTCCTACCACACTGGCCTAAACATCCTCTGGGCACAGGCTCATCTATCCACTCCTGTGGTATCTCAAATTCTTTGTATCTCCAAACAAAACAACCCTCCTCCTTCACCACAGCTGCCTCCCACTGTCCCTCACAAGGTGAGAAAAGAGAGTTTCTCAGTTGATGAACACAGCTCTCCAACAGCTGTTTCTTCCTGTTCCTCTGGTCCCTGACGAGTTCCCACCTGATATTAAAGCAAGCTACAGGAATCAAATTTCTCAGGAGAGCTCAACAAACCTGTATGCCACAGGCCAGCCTGAGATTTTGGCTGCTCATTTTGCAGAAAGAGAGCTCTTCTGGAACAGAAATCAAAGCAGCTAGGCTTGCCTATGTGCACAACACCTGGTCAAGCAGGTTAAAAAAAAAAAAAAAATCAGTCAGTCCCAGTTTTGGACTGCATGTCCAAAATCAATCTGACAGGTGTCAAAGAACAAATAATGAACTAAAACTAGCAAATAAAGCAAAATATTATAGAATTTTAGGGGTTGGAAGGGACCTCTAGAGATCCTCTAGTCCAACTTCCCTGCCAGAGCAGGAAGAGCAGCACAAGCATGCCTTGAAGGAGTCACATTCAAATCACAGGAAATACAAATTCTAGTATTTCTCAACTTTCATTTAACAAACACCTCCTGTAGAATTCATTACAGCTTTACTAAGTCCTTTTTGAAAGTTCACTTGTTTCCCCCACGGCCTCCTGTTGAAGTCAATACTGATCACTGCCACACTTAACACCAGAGAGGAATCCCTGCTAAGATGGACTAAATGAAATAGGGACACGGAAGGAACTGAAGTCAAAGCGCATGAAACTTCCAACAAGTCATTTCAACTTCTCCATGTGCAAGCAGAGGTAGTACAAGAGGAAACCCGGTGTTCACAAAGCACTCTGAAATTGCCAGGTGCTACTGCCAACCACTGTCATTTAGGCATTTCCAGTTCTAACATGTTACCTGGTTATTTCAGAACCTCAAAGGCCAACTACAACGCGGTTTTGCTTTTAAGTGGAGTTTACTGTCTGCTGCTTCACAGCTTCCAGCCCCGTCACTACCCCTTCTAGGCTTTTTAAGCCAAATCCCACAGAACAACAGATGGAGGGAAATTGGAATGAAAAGTTGCAGTTCTCCTGACTTTCACCTACAGAAAGCAGTACTGCAGCATTCCTGGGTGACATGGAAAAGACTACAGGATGAAACTAAGCCATTCCCTCTTCACATGTATTTAGGAAAGACTCTGAATGCAATTAATCAAACACTTAAAACCGCTCATGTAGAACACACGACACAGTCACAACTACCTTCGGGCTGGTAAACAAGAGGAACAAATCAAATCAGCATTATAGCAAATAAATAAGTTTAGCCAACTTACCATCATATAAGGATCATCCACAATAGGATAAATATAATCTGTCGTCTGGACCAACGACAAACCTCCATGTCTTAACGGAATAACACAAGTATCCATCCCAATTCCTGCAAAAATAGAAATCCATGAGTGAGGTGACTAACTTCACCCTTAATTACCTGTTGCTCTTAACAAGAGAACTTAGAAAACATGTCTGTGAAACACAACTCGCAAAACTGACTAAACAGACGTGGTAAATTCCTTCCTTAGAGAAAGCACATGGCACAAAATCAGAGGAAAACAAAGCGAAGAGTGGAAACTCCTGACTGAACAGGAACGTAAACAGCTGAAAGCAAGAACTACACTAAAATATTTCACATCTTTTTGCAACATAAGAATAGTGCATTAAGAACATCTGTGCTTATAAGTATGTACATTTAAAGTGAAGAGGAACTATGTAAATTAGTATTATTGAAAGCAATAGGTTTTCCTGCCACTCTGATTTCAACAAAAACATATTAACAGGGCATCTCCTCACTTTAGGAGAAACAAAAAGAACGCCACAAGTCACAGCACAGCCGGGGCCCTTGGTGAAAGATGATTCAGCCACTTCGAGCTTTTGCAACTGTGTTAACCTCTCCTTACTTCTGTGAGGCTGAAAGGCAGCAAGACAACCTGCTAGACAGGGAAACTCCTTTGAGAAAACCACAACACCAAGCACAGCCTTTTTCCTGACAGCAGATATTTCAAATAGAATAAGCAATATTAAAACCACATGGCATTTACCGTGATGCAAGAGCCCACACAAAAGCAGCGGGTGACAAATCACAGCAGGCTTGCTGGGCCGCGCTCCCTGTCGACAGACACCTTTGCTGTGCCTTGTGGCAACGGCAGCAGTTTATCTCCTCCCCGGGCGGGCAGTAAGCTGCCCAGAACCACTCTGCTCACCTTGCAGGGCAAGAGTCTTCAAACAGCCAGTGCTCAGGGAGCAGATGCCACCTAACTTCTCCCCAGGTATTAATGAAGCACAGTACCTACAAAGAGCTACAAGCCAGTATCTGGCAGTGTCCTGCACAGGACTGGAGTGAGCTGTTGTCATCTGAGGTCCTGCCGAGTGTGGCCAGCAGGAGCAGGGAGGTGACCATTCCCCTCTACTCAGCTTTGGTGAGGCCACACCTTGAGTACTGTGTCCAGTTTTGGGCTCACTGTAAGAGGGACACTGAGGTGCTGGAGAGGGTACAGAGGCGGCTGCCAAGCTGGCAAAGGATTTGGAACATCTGTCCTGTGAGGAACGGCTGAGGATCTGGGGCTGTTTAGCCTGGAGAAGAGGAGATTGAGGGGAGACCTTATCGCTCTCTACAACTACCCAACAGGAGGTTGTAGCAAGGTGGGGGTTGATCTGTTCTCCCTAGCGGTGAGTGATAGGACGATGGGAAACGGCCTTAAGTTGCAGCAGGGGAGGTTCAGGTTGGATATTAGGAAGAATTTCTTTACTGAGAGAGTTGTCAGCCATTGGAACAGCCTGCCCAGGGACGTGGTTGAGTCACAATGCCTAGAGGTTTTTAAGAGAAGGGTAGATGTTGCCTTGAAGGACATGGTTTAGCGGTGCTGATAGGGCTAGGAAAAGGTTGGACTCAATGATCCTGAAGGTCTCTTTCAGTGAAAACTGTTCTACTGGTCTACGAGGATGCAGAGCAGGTCTGCGAGGCAACAGGCACGTAGGTGCAGACGATCTTGCCTCTCCTGCCTACGGAGGCAGAAGACCTTGTCGCAGAAGGGAAAAGCTACTGACAGAAGCTCATGAGCAGTAATTAAGGGTCGCTCATCCTCTGCAGAAGCTCCCAAGGCACTTCACATGATGTCCGGTGTCTCCAAGGAAGTGCACGCGACAGTTACAGAGAAGTGGCTCATGTACAGGAGCTGTTTTGCCCTCAGTTCACCTATTCATATCACAATGCTGCAAGACAGATTTCACTTGTGGGGTTTTCTACAACTTCAGCAACAGTGCTACTTGGCAGAGAGGCCAAGGGCCCATGACGAGCCTGAGGCTACATTTCTGTTTCACTGAAAGGAGTAACTAAATAAGAGAATCTCTTCAGAAAGGTGACTGAAAATAGTGATTTCAAGGTCTGTAACAGCTCTTAAGAACTAATATCAAGCTTTCAGTATCTTACTCACGGATATGCTCACAGTCATATCTAAGACTGCTCTGGGTAATAGGACTTGCAGGACTAAAAAAGGAGTGAGCTTGAGCCCGCTATTAGCAATTTCCCTCTTGACCGCATCTCAAAGGCACGGTGCATATGCACAGGCTGTGAAGTTACCTGTCTACCTCTTTTAAGCACAAGGTATCAGATGCAAGTAACACCAAGCTTACTTGAAGATGTATTTATTAAAGGGATACTCACCAGAAAAGCATATTTTTAGACACCTGAACTCTCCACCTTCTATTTCTAACAGAATTTGTGTTACATAATACCACATCTACATATTGACGGAATTAATCTATTTTTTCTACACTTTCATATAGCTGGAGAAGAAAAATCTATTAGCAGTTCCACTACTGTTTAGAGACTAAGTTTTTAACAGAGAAAAGAAAAAAAGGCTAGGTAATTTAAGCTAGACCAAACTATTACTGATTTTAGAAATTTCCCAAATCGAAATAATATTGCAAACAACTTCTTTAACTTAAAAATCCCATATAAATAGCAATATGTGGATAAAAGAAGCTGGAAGTGTCCTTCATTAGGGAGTATTAAATTATAGTGCCACCGCAGCTCCACACACAATTGCTGCTTAGATATTTCATACAAAGATCGCCTTTGTTTAAGCAAGAACACGGGCTCCTCGCTAATCTCTCACTGAATTCAATCTCTACCAGAATGAGTTGCAACCTGTTAGCCTGCTAATAGACAATTAGCAATGTTAAAATAATTTTAAATAAGGTTATTGGACACTAAATCGATAATTAAATAACTTCAGAACAAATGCCACACTGAGATTAAAAAAAGTTAAGATTAAAAAAAAAAAAAATCATCCTGCACTGCAAAACAGAGACTGAACACGTATGGCTGAGTAAATAGATAAACAGAATTAAGTGTCATTAAACACATTATCTACATTAATTTATCTATATCAATATTAGGTACAGGATCTGGTATCAAAATACCTACGTTCGCCCTGTTCCCCATGTAGGCGGCCTGTACAGGTTGTTTTCCCTTACTGGTTACATCATTGTGCAAATATCAAAGGGAAAGTGAAGCTGGCAACAACATAGAGGTCTTGGAAAGAAAGCCTTTCCCAGGTAGCTTCTACAGGTGAGCAAAAAAAATACGAGTGGGGAACAACAAAAAGACTGAAAGGAAAAATGACAACCATGAAACACTCCGCTCCTAGCCTCAGCTGAAGTGAGAAGGTTTTCTCTTCCGTTTCTCTGACCCAGGAACAGAGGGGAAGGGAGGAAGAGCAGAACTTCACCTGCAAGTCACCTATTTACATAACATTTATTGCACTCATTGCATAAATTTCTAAAGGCAATGTATGAATATAGGAGTCCAGAAATTAATTGATACAACTTCAGTTTGCAAAACACCTACTGGGGAAAGGGAGAGAAGACTAACGTCTAAACACATGCCTCAACAATGGCCACTGCTGACCACTTTTTTCTTTGCAGCTAGGCGCACTGCAGGACGTTAAATAATTAAAATAATATTCTTGTATCCCAGATGTCAAGAAGCAACAACATGAGACTCATTCTTCAAACTTCTGTATGCTGTGCATGCACTAGACAACACATAATTTTCAAACTGATTAAACAAACTGCAAATGAGATCATGTCACTAAGCAGACCAAACAGAAAAACCACGGTGTCTAGAGGTGCGACTTACCCAACCTGGGCATAACTGCCCCCAGGAACTGTTCATCTTCCTGAAAATGGTTTTCTTGTAGAGATTCGAGCAGTTTCTGTAAGACATCCTGTGGCACTTTGCAGCCTGTGCCTTTCAGTTCAGTGAATCGGGTCAGACGGAAGCTCTTGTCCAGTTCGTAACTTTCTGGGTTAAAGGACTCCCGGACAGACATGGTTCTCTCGCACTGACTGATGGCCTTTCCCACCCCAGAGCAACGGTATCAGTTTCTCTGCTGATCAGTCTAATTAAAAAACAAAAATTTGGAACATCAGAAATCCCTAGGGCCTGTAAGACAACAGGTTTTCCACATGGAGCAAGTTAAAAAGGAAGCAAGCACTCAATGACGCCGTTCACTTGTTAGGACAGGTGGGCACATTTCAGACAACTCACTTCTCTAAGACCATCTTCCAACAATTAAAACTATAACTACGCCACACAAATCCCAGACTGAATTTCTTTTCCAGATATGATGAAAAAGTTTTTCATTTGAAAAAGAATCTAACACACTAACCAACCTCATTTAACACAGAAGTAACGAAAGAAATAACAGTTCCCAGAGCATTGAGGCCAATTTCCAAAAGGCAGCCTGGGCTCTGATCCTGCAAGAAGCTTAGCAGACACATCTGTTTGCATTCAGCTCAGCACAGGGTCATAATTTTAGCCATTAACATATTAATCTCAAAAGTAAGATGCTTTTCAAATAATGGCTCTCCTTCAGTTCTGATGTAAGAACCTGGAACATCGTAATACACCTGTTCTCCTTGGGGGAAAATGCAATCCTGGTGTTCTGTCAGTACAGGTAACAGAAGAACAAAGAGGTCATATTTAAGCAGACTGGTTTACCTGCAAACATGCCAGCTTACATTTGAGTATGCTCGCAGACATAAAAATGTTGACCAAAAAAAAAAGTTTCTTGCCTCTCAAGCCCTTTTTTAGTCAGTTAGCAATACTGAGAATACAGAGAATTGCCCATTAAAATGGTAATGTAAAAAGACACTGACGCAACTCATTAAATAAAATTCTTAACAATGCGTGTCTAATTTTAGAACGTTTTTCCACTCTGACTCACATACACCACACTCCAAAACTAATAAGAGGCCTAACAGAGACACTGACTTCTAAACAAGAACGGCTGTGATAAAACACAACTCAACTTTCTCAGAAAATAAGTTTTCAGGAATTACTGAAAACAACCTGTCTCTGCCGTAGTTTCTTAGAAAGCAAGGATCCTGCCTAGCGAGAAGAGGGAGTTGAGCAGCATCGCTGACAAAATCTGATACTGATGGTCATGCTGTTACGAGGTTAAGCTGAAAAGCAAAAACACAACTGCAAGTGACCAGTACTCGCTCAGTCAGTACTAAATGTAAGAAAGAGGCAAATACAGACTGTGCAACTGATCTCCCCTACAGAGCACTTATTAACAAGTATGTCCACTCTACAAACCTTTAAGTCTACTAAATTATTTAATACACTTTGTAGGAATCGTAGTTTTAAGCTCCCTGAGAACTTCTGATGTGGAGCCCAACTCCCCCTTACAGAGCTTTCCCTCCTTCTCCAGGAGGCGTGGCGCTCATTTAAAACAAATCTCCCAAAGCCCAGGCTCGGGCAGGAATCCAAACTCCAGTTACAGGAACGTGTCTTGGATGAGCAATGAATTCAGTTTGTAGCTGTTGTCTTCCAGTGCAAGACACTGAGCACTTGCAATCCAAAAAAAACCCAAACCACCAAACCCCACCAAGACCCAAAACAATAAAACAACAGCAACTACAAAAAGTCAGTGTCTGGAAAACAACCTGTCAACAGATACGGGAGAGACAAAAGCTTTCAAAGGAGGAGGATGTGGTTTTTTCATTCTTTTTTAACACTTCATTCTAATTAATTCCAGACATTTTTAAGAAGCAGCGCGACCCCCAAGGGGAAACACGTTCCTTCCTACAACTGTTAACGCTTAGCACCCCCTACCCACTCGCATCGGAGAGGGCTCAGAGGCCGCAGCCTACCAGGAACTTTCTGTGCAGCCTTCAGGACTGTAAAAACACAGCAGGTTCCTCGGTTTGAAAACAAGTACCGAGTCAAACGAGACGGGTTTCCTTAGCGGGAACCATCCAGGGTGCAGGAACCCAGGAGCTCTGTCAGGAAGGTCTCCGCAGCGCTGCAGGCGAGTCCCGGTGCCGCGG